ACCCAAAGATGGACAACTCAACCAGTCGGCTCTGTTTGTGAGGGGCTTTGAAGAACACTAGGAAAACTCAGAGAAGTCATCCCAATGTGCACTCCGAGGGCCTCAGATTCTACCACCAGAGCTCTGTTTGGGGATCAGGAAGCCTGTCAGCCTTGTCCTAACGGTACCCGTATGAAATACAAACACCCAAGAAGAGGTCAAGTCATGAGCATTGTCAGCCATAACTAGGATTTCAACTCTTATTGATAATTCTGATAAGAGTGCAGAGTGTGCTGTGATGCTCTAAAAAAAATACAGATTCCTAGGTATGATTCAGTGGACGTGGTCACCAGCTGCAATGATCCCTGGCCCCTGATAGTCACACCTTTGTGTGGTCCCTTCTGCACCGGTGTGTGCAACCGACATATAGCATGTGGCAGAGGGATAGCACATCACTTCCGAGATTACGTTATAAAAGATCGGGACTTCTGTGTTGGATGCTCGCCTTTCTCACCTGTTCTCGTTCTCTCTCTCTCTCTCTCTTTCTCTCAGATCACTTGCTTTGGAGGAAGCCAGCTGTCAGGGTGTGAGGACACTCAAGCAGTTTATGAAGAGGTCCACGTGGCAAGGAACTGAAGCCTTTTGCCAACAACCAAGGTGGAAGTGAAGGAGCCGTGTGAGGGGGCCAGGATGGAAGGAGGCCCTCCAGCCGCAGTCAAGCCTTCAGATGGCTGCAACCCTGGCCATCAGCCTGACTACAAGTCCAGGAGAGACCCTGAGCCAGAACCCCAGCCAAGCTCCTCCCAGGTCCCTGGCCCTCTGAAAGTATGTTGTGGTAATCAGTGTGTGTGTGTGTGTGTGTGTGTGTGTGTGTGTGTGTGTGTTTTAATTCTTTAGTGTTTATTTTTTGAAAGAGAGAGAGACAGAGTGCGAGCGGGTGAGGGGCGAGGGGCAGAGAGAGCGGAAGGCAAGGAATCCAAAGCAGGCTCCAGGCTCTGAGCACAGAGTCCGACTCGGGATTCGAACCCATGAACCATGAGAGCATGACCTCAGCGGAAGTTGGACACTTAACCAACGGAGCCAGCCGGGCGCCCCTCCGTGTGTGTTTTTTAAGCTGCTAGATGTTGAGCTATTTACTATGCAGCAGTAGATAATTCATGCAGTGGGTCTAGGTAGGGCCAGAAGGCTGTGGATGTAAAAGCTTCCTAGGTGAATCTGATGTGCGGTCAAGGTTCAATAGCCGTGGGTGTAGAGACTTACGCTGCTGACGGTTTTCTGGGCACAAAGCTGACTCAAAGTGGCACGTGTGCATGCGAGAATCAGAGAGCTACTGCTGTGTGGCTCCACACTGAAAACGGAGACAGGCAAGGGGTGAAGGCTTCCACCACCAGCAGCCCCTAAGAGCTGAAGTGTCACACGTAGCCCTCGAGAACTAGGAGTGCCTGCTGATGTACCGCTCCTGGAAGAGAGAAAGCCTAGAACGTGAAACCTGAGGGGAACCCTGGCCTGAGGATTTTCACAATTTGTCAAGGAGTAGAACCGTTTCCTCAAGAGAAACCATTCCCAGTAGACTGGGTTAGAGATGCCGGCAGAGCAGTTCTGGGCGAGTCTAAGTAGTGGCCCCTGAGCCTGCTTCTCCAGTCTCCCCACCACCACTCCCCATGCTTAGCAGCGCTTCTGGGGCAGAGGTCCACAGCTTGATCCTCCCGACTTCTAGTGCAATCTTTCTGCACCACCACAACCCAGGATGCCACTTAGGAAAGGTACACAGGGTGGGGATGCGGTACGGGGATCCGCCCCCTCTCCCTGGGAGGGAGCACCTACTATGCACCAGGTATTTTTCCCAAAGCTTCACATGAACTCAGGTACTCAATCTTCTGCAACAACCCCATGAGGTGGATCCTGTCATTATCTTCATTTGGCACAGGGGGAAACCGAGGCAGAGTGAGGGTAAGTAACTAGCTCGATTCCTTGGTTAGTCCATGGCAGGGCCAGGATTCTCTAAGGTCCGTGTCTGGGGTCCAGACACTAACCCTTAACCCCTGAGCTCTGCTGCCTCCCCTGCTAGCCACGGGCCCAGCCCTCCTTGCCCTCTGAGCAGGAACGAAAGGCCCTCTGCTTTGCTCTGCTCCCCAGGGAGCGAGGGGACAGGCATCAAATAGGAAAAAAATGGTCAGACCTGTTACCTTTCCAGCCAGGATGCCACAGGCTGCTGGCTCAAAGGCCATCGAGGGCTCAGCACCTCACCTAGGGCAGGGGGAATCGGGATCCTCCCCTGGATCTGTGTCTCTCAAATATAGTCTCCCTCTCAATAATGAATGCCGTAAACATTTAGGAATGGAGCAGTAATAGTAATTACTGAGTACTTTACCCTTTTATCTTTTGCACCAAAGCTAGCTTTACATTAGCAGTGGTAATTTTTTTTTTTAACTTTTTAACGTTTATTGATTTTTGAGAGAGAAACAGAGCATGATCGGGGGAGGGGCAGAGAGAGGGACACCGAATCCGAAGCAGGCTCCAGGCTCCAGGCTGTCAGCACAGAGTCCGATATGGGGCTCGAACACACAAACCGCGAGATCGTGACCTGAGCTGAGGTCAGGTGCTTAACCCACTGAGTCACCCAGGCGCCCCTATAGCTATTTGACCTACACACCGTGGCTGAGGATATGGATTCTTTTGTCTCTCAAATGTACAGGACAGTTGTGAGGACAGTACAAAGAATTTCCCTCCGCTCCTCATTCAGATTCCCAGACTTACTACTCACCACGTTTGCCCTTCATCACAGCTATGCATCTACATACTCATTATTTTTTTTCTTTTTCAAAACATTCGAGGACAGGCTGCAGACATGAAGCTCCATATCCCTCAAGTACTCTAGTGTGTATTTCCCCAACACAAGGGCACTTGCCTATATAACCATCATACAGCCCTTCAAGTCAGGACGCTGATGCCCAGGTAACACTACCGCCCCACCCACAGACCCCATTCACATTCCCTAACCATCCAACAAAGTCTTCTGGTCCAGGATCTCAGCGAAGAACACATATTGCATGTAGTCTGTCTGTTTAGTCCCCTCCAACCTGGAAGATTCCACAGTCTTTTCCTGTCTTTCCTATCCAAGTTTTAGGGAATGATCCCTACATTTGTTTCCTTATGACCAGACTCAGGCTGTGCTTTCTCGGCAGGAAAACCCCAGAAAGGGTGTCGGGTTTTCTCCATGCGGCACATCAGACAGCACGTGGTGCCTACCCAACCTGTCACTAATGATGTTGACCTCACCATAGGGTCAAATTAGGCTCTTCCAGGTTTCTCCACCATTAAGCCACCACATTTCCCTTTGTAATGAGGTGAACCCTATGCATGTCCCAGCCTGGTGCCTGAAAGAGGGTTTCCAGTCTTAACACATAGAGAGCCTAGTGGTCTCAATGAGTTAAGGGGATAGAGTTTAAAATTCAGGGAGTCTGAGACAACGAGAATTTGCAAGGCAGGACACCAGAGAAGAGAAATCCAGAAATCCACAGACCCTTGAGTCTTTGGCTGAGCACTGATTTGTGCATGTGTACGAGGAAACTTCCAGAGCCAGTAGAAAACCTTCTGAAAGGAATAGATGGAACCATCCCCTGAGATCATACAAGGCTAGAAATAGTTCCCAGCAGATGAGGTAGAAACACCTCCTAATATACAAGGTTCTCAGTAGCAATCTCAGAAGGGTATTGACTCAGTAGTGGATCAAAATGTGTCCCAGACTAAAGGCTCCCCACCTAACAAAGGCTTTAAAAGCAAGCTGTGAAAAGATCAAACTGTTCTGAAGTAACTTAACTGTGTTCCAGAACAATGCCCAAAATATTTAAATGGATACTAACAAAACTCAGGCACCCAACAATGTAAAATTCCTAATACCTGGTATCTGACATAAAATCACCAGGCATGCAAAGAAAAATATGACCTATATCTAGAGAAAAAAATCAATTAATAGAAGTAGACACTGAAATGACATGAGTGACCGAATTAGTAGAGAAAGACCTTAAAAAAGTCATTCTAAATCGATTCTATATGCTCAAGGAGATAGGGGAAAGCAGGAACATGAAGAAGAGAGAGGAAAAAAAGATCCAAACTGAACTTCTAGACATGAACAAGACAACATCCGAAATAAAAATACACTGGATGTGATTGACAGTAGGGTTGGACTTTGCAAGAAAAGACTAGTGAACTTGAAGACACAGCAATAGAAAGTATCCAAAATGAAACACACAGAGAAGACTTAAAAAAAAAAAAAAATAGGCAGAGTTTGGTGAGCCATGAGAGCAGATGAAATGGCATGAGGTTCAGTAGAGAAAAGGACAGGGTGACGTGGTGAGTGTGGTGGCAGGTCCCTGACCAGGCAGGCTCTGTCACCTAGGAGGGCGACTCTCACTCTGCTGTGGCAGACCCCACCCCCATACTCGGATGCAGCTAGATTCCCACTGTTTCTGCCCAAAGACCAGCACCAGAAGCATCTCGAGACCCAGATTTGCTATCTCTTTGCTGAGTGAATCCTACTGTCCCGGAGCCAGGCTCGATCCAGGAAGAGGAGCCCAGTCGATGACAAAATCAGCAAGCACAGCAGACACCTGGAGGCTGGCAGGACATCTCCACTTTTCAAAAGCCTAAAAATAGCCCCAACCACACTGGCAATCCCAGCAGCCCTGCCCGTCCCAGGAACACACCGCGGGAGGCCACACCGGCAGAGATTTCAGGTCAAGGGACAAAAAACTTGGACAAGTGCGCCGAGTTGCCACAGCATGGCCCCATTTCACCTCTGGGGGATGTCAGGCCCGCCACCAGTGCAGAGAGCATGCCACCACACACACATCACGATGGGACGCTCTGGGCCTCGTCAGGCACCCACCCCTGCCTCCCTCCCACCACAGTACATCCAGTTACACCCTGCTGGAGGAAGGGGCTAAGCGGGTGCCCAGGCTGTGCCCAGGCTGAAGATTGGGACCTGGCTGGAAGGTTGGAGACTCTCCTCCTGCACCTACCTGCCAGGCCGGGAGGACCTTCTCAATGTCATTCAGGTTGATCCCGTCCCCGTCTTCTAGCTTCCCTTTTCCACACCTGGGCCAGAAAAGACAGAAAGGCATTGAGGAGTCGGCACGTTCACGCATCCTACCCCAGCCCGCCGAGCAGGAAGGGCAGGGATGGCCAGGAGACACCCGGCCCTGCCACCTCCAGGCCTGTAGGATCAGCCTGCCCCACCCAGAGCAAACAGCTCTGGAGAAACATGCTTTCCTTCCCCAGGCCTGGCAACACGGGCCCTGCCTGCAGAACAAAGGACTTCGTGCAAGCGGGCATTCTGGGAGCAGTCCAGAGGCAGGGGGCACTAAGGTGACATCCGACCCCCCAGGGAGGTGACAGAGGTACCAGATTTCCCCTCGACCCTTCCAGGCAAAGACGCTAATAAGCTCCTTGTTGATGAATACCCCAAAACCCGTCACAGCTCCTGCAAAACCTCATCATCTTGCCCCATTACACCAAAGGGGCGATGCGTGAACAGAAAGACCAAGCAACTTTCTTGAGGTCACACAGGCCCGCAACAGGGACTTCTCCCTCCTTGGCCTGACTCTGGGCCAGTCCAACAAGCCCACTCAGATACCGATGCTTTGGCTTTACGCCCTCTGTGGGCAGACATACCATCAGGCCAGAGACGCTGACCCCAACTCGCCATCGAGCACCCATGTCTTCTGCATACTTAAGGTGCAGACTCTGGAATCAGACTGCCAGGCTGGAACCCCAGTTACGTCCCTTACTAACTGGGCGACCCTACGCAAGTCACTTAACCTCTCCGGACCTCGGTTTTCCCACTTGTCAAATGGAGATCATTAGCAGTGTATAACATCATGGGGTGGTAGGAGGATGAAATTAATGTAGCTGATATACACACATGCACACGCAGGCACACCCATGTATATATCCATATTTACATACTATGTTTGATGGTAAATATGGGTAATAATGGCATGCAAGTATAGTAAGGTAAGTAATAAGGTAAATATATTAGTTCCACGAGGACTACTTCTGCCAGTACTAGTCCTGTTTACAACTATCTTACTAGCATTACTGTTACTCTTTTGTTAGTATTTTACGGCCACTACTGTTAATTGCTGCCCCAGGGAAGGATTAAGAGCCTAGACTCTGGAGCTGACCCAGGCTCACGTAAGTTGCTCATTTCTTTGTGCCTCCCAGTTTCCCCACCTGTCTAGGTGAAGATAACACTCCTACCTCCCTAGGTTGAGGTGAGTTTTCAATAACACGAGGCCAGCACTTGGAACAGTGCCCAGGATGGATCAGTGATCACTGTTCTCATTGGTGTGACTATGGACCCAGACACGGTGAGGGCTGCCCAGCGTGACGGCCCCAGCATTTTCCAGCTGCAGCATTAAGGCGACTCTCAAAATTTAGAGGATTTATTTGTTCAATATTTGCCGAGCATCTCTTGTGTTTTGGGCCCTGTCAACCTCCCTGGGAGTCATGGAAAATAAATCTGCTGTGGTTCCTGTCCTCCAGAAAGCAACAGCTCTTTGGAAACACGTCCTAAGCTCAACTGACAAGGCGGTGACCACCAGTAGGGGGCAGCATGAGATAAGTGTTATAAAAGACTTAGGGACAGAGGAGGTGGGGTGGCCACATAACCCACCAAGGCTGGAGTGGAAGAGGGCAGGAAGATGCCATCTATACCCCCTTTTGACAAGAGCTTCTGCGTGGGCTCTGGCTTGGGCTTTACCCCAGTGTAAACAGGGCATAGACTGAACCCAGAGGAGTGCTGCCCAGAACATCCAGAAGCATCCAGAATGATCTGGGGCAGGAGGAAGGTGGGTCATGAGCTGGCTAAGCAGAGAATCCTGGAGAATGTCCTGGGCAGAGGGTAGCGGGGCAATGCCCTGGAGCTAAGCCCATGTATGTTGCCAGCTGGGATGTCAGCATTCCTGCCACTGGAGTGGGGTGGGGGTGGGGGTGTAAAGGGGATGGGTAAAGGGGGAATATGGAGCTAGAAGGCCAGGAGGTGGAGCTGGGGAGGAAGGGGTAGAAGGAAGGTGGGAAGGACATGTGGGGAAAGAGAGTTCTTACCCCCTCTGCCCCTACCCTCCACCGCCACCCCAGCCTCTTGATGTGCTGGGCTGCAGACAAAGAGGCGGAGCAATCTCTGGAAACATCCAACCACCTTTTAACTACAGATTGGCCCGTGAAGGTACCAATGGCCTGCGTCTGTATTTCATGTGCACCTTGGCAACAGGAGAGGAGAAAGCTGGGGACTGTGGGCCGAATGGAACAGCTGACGCCCTCTCCCCCAGGTCCTGTGTGCTATCCCCCCACTTCCGGACTCCCAGCTGCCCTGAGCTCCAAGCATGCGTTAGACGCCAGCCTAGCACAGCACAGGCGCAGCGTTTTATCCTCACCTCAGCAGCTCCTGGGGGCAGCAGGGGGCTGTGTGCAGGGAGCGCTGCTGTCCCCCAAGACCTGTCCTCTGGGGTTCAGAGCTCCCTGGGTGGACTGCAGGTACAGAGGGCAAAAGGTTGCTACAGACCAGCTGAGTCACTGCTTCCTACAGGGTTTCCAAGGCAACAGCTTTCTCTGATTTCTGTCCCTCCATGGAAACATGGGCTGCGGGAAGCCTTGGCAACCGAGAGGTACCCTGCTTCCGAGGGATGCTGCAGTGGCTGGGCACGTGGAGTGCATCCCCAGCATGGCTGGACTCTGAGGGTGACACAGTTCCTGCCTTAACCACAAGGAGGCCACCGGGCGCTGAACCCAGGATCCCCTAGGAACCTGGGGAGGCCAGGGTTCACCTATGCTCTCATTCCAACAGGGTCCCTCCATGCTGAAGGCCATCTCCCCTCACCACCCAAGGAAAAGTGACCTCGGGAATTCTGGCAGATCCCACACAGACAGGACGATGGAAAAAGGAGCCGTGGTGAGAGGCTGGGGTCCCCTGGGAGAGTATGAAGCACGTGGTGGGTCTCTCCCCAGAAAAATATACACAAACGCATGATTTTGCATGAAAGTTTAAGGGGGTTAAACTGATTCACGGATACTCTGGTGTGATGACCGGGGCCTTGGATGGCGTCAGAAGGCCTTAAATCATGGCTCTTCCTGGGCATGTCTGAAATGCATTTCTCCCAACTGTACAATAGAGACAAGAGCCTCTCCCTCCCCAGGCTTTTTGTTCATGACTCTGCGCAGGTGGGAGCAGGGTGCTCAGAGAGGGGGTGCCCACTAGGGTGGGGTGGGGAGCAGGTGAGACGCAGTTATGTTTAATACAGCCAACAATATCAGTCATGTTTAGATGTGAAGTGACGGGAGGTGAGAGTGGACAGGGAGGGACTGGAAGGAAAAGTAAAAGCCGTCAGTCTAAGAAAGAAAAGGGGAACAGCAAGTGTTGACAAAAATGTGGAAAAGCCCCGTATACTGCTGGTGGGAATATAAGACATTCAGCCTCTGTGCGAAATAGTTTGGCGAAATAGTTCCACAAAAACTTAAGACATGGAATTACCATGTGTGATATTGTGACTCATACAAGCTATATTTGGTCTTTGTCCCCAGTCCTAGTATAGAACTCCTCAAATCCTTGGAATTTCCTAAGTGAGGACAGAAGACAAAGTTGCGTTTTGTTACGTTAATGAGGCGACTGTTGAAAAACCACCTAGGGAATCTAAGGGAGGGAGCCGGTTCAATCGTGTGATTGGAGGGTTAGAACTTTCAGTCCCAACTCTCAACTCCAGGGAGGGGAGAGGGGCTAGAGATTCAATCATTGGCCAATGGCCAATGATTTGCTCAATCATGCCCGTGTAATGAAGCCACCAAAAAAAAAAAAAAAAAAAAAACGAAAACAAAAACAAAAACCAAAGGAGGGGCTTTGGAGAGCTTCCGGGTTGGTGAGCACAGGAGATTCTGGAAGAGTGCACTCTGGAGAGGGCATGGCAGTTGGCACCTTTCCCCATCCCTTGTCTGATGCATCTCTACCATCTGGCTATTCCTGAGTTCTATCCTTTGATATAAACTAGTAATCTAGCGGGTACCATGTCTTCCCGACTTCTGTGGCCTCCCTAGCAAATTAATAGAGCCCAGGGAGGGGGGGGGTGTAGCTGGAACCCCCAATCTACAGTCTGACATCTGAAGCACAGGTGACAGACTGGACTTTGGAGTGGCGTCTGCAATGGGGAGAGGGGTCGATCTGTAGGACTGAGCCCTCAACCTGGGGGGTCTGATGCTGTTTCTAGGTCGATGGTGTCAGCATGGAGTTGAATTGTGGGACACTCCACTGGCATCAGAAAACTGCTTGGTGGCGATGGAAAAAACCCCACACACATCAGAACTGGTGTCAGAATCAGACCATGTGACTCAGCAATTCCATTTCCCAGGCACCTACCCGGAAGAGTTGAAAATAGGGACTCAACAAATACTTGCACACGAATGTTCATAGCAGAATAATTGACAATAGCCAAAGCGTGGAAAGAACTCAAACGCCCATCAGCAGATGAATGGATGGACAACGAGTGACAGACCCACATGATGAAATACACGCCACAGTGTGGACGAACCTCAAAATTTTATGCTGAGTGAAAGACGCTAGGCCCAAAAGGCCACATATGATCCCACGCATCTAAATAACTGGAAGAGAGAAATTCACAGAAACAGAAAGCAGATCGGTGGGTGCCAGGAATAAGAGGGAAATGGAGAGTCACCGCTTAGGGGACATCGATTTTATTCTGGGGGGGTTGAAAATGTTTTGGAACTACGTAGAGGGGATAGTTACACACTATTAGGAAAATATGAAATGACACGCAATTGAACGCTTTAAAATGGTTAATGTGGGGGGCGCCTGGTTGGTTCAGTGGGTTGAGCATCCGGCTGTTGGTTTTGGCTCAGGTCAGGGTCTTGTGGTTTGTGACACTGAGCCCCGCCCGTGCTGGGCTCCATAGCACGGAGCCTGCGGGCTTCTCTCTCTCCCTCTCTCTCAGCCCCTGCCCTGCTCGAACTCACATGTGTACGCGCTCTCGCTCCAAAATAAACTTGAGAAGATGAGACAACCCGGTATAAAATCAAACACTACACCAGGGGTTCTCAAAGTGGGGCCCCTGGACCAGCAGCACCAACGTCCCCTGGGAACTTGTTGTGGGTGGAGAGCCTCTCCGGACACCAGCCACCTGTGTGTTCCCAGTGCAGCAGAGATGCCTGCCCGCCCAGGGAAGGGCCCCTCTCTGCCCCAGGACAGCTATAACCCTACCCACCCCTGTATAAAAGCCCCTGGTCACCCCTTACCCTTCCCGGTCGATGTGTGGCAGGGTCGGCTTGGGCGTGTGTCTCAGCTTCCGGTGGAACTGCGTGAAGTCCAGCTTTTCGGGCTGCAGGTCCCAGGTGGCACCACTAGAGGGCGAGAAAAGGTGAGAAATGTGAGGCAAGGGGGAGACCAGCCCAGTTACCCATGGCACCAGACAGCTGGGCACAAGCCTGGCAGGGAGCGTCTTCACAAAGAGGTGGGCAGGCTGGGGAGGACACCCACCAGCCGAGGGCAGGGTCGACAGAGACCCCTCCCTCAGAATGGAGCTGGCGGTGTCAGCTCTGTGTTCAGATAGTGGGGCAGTAGGCTCCCCATTCCTCAACCCTGCTGTACAGCAATGCATGTCAGTCTGATGCCTGCTCTACGGAGACCCCCCTAAAACACTTCAGAGCTTCCTTCCGGAAGGCTGGAAACAAAGGAGGCCAAACATCTGTCACGATGGCAGCTCAAAATGGTGGCAAGGCAGCTCTGAGGTACATAAGGCAAGTCAGTGGGGTGGGAGGTTGAGCCCCACAAAGTCCCAGGCCCAGGAGACAAAGGTGCTTCCATTCTGGGAAAGCTGAGTCTGAGCCACGGATGTGCCTGGAACACGCCCAGCGTTGGCCAGCTCCAAGGCCAGGGGCGGAGGGGAGCTAAAGGGCGACTGCCCATCCAGAGCCCCAAGCCATCACTCCCCAGGGGAGTGAACATATGGTAGGCACCCATTAGCAAACCTTCCAGGGGCACCATCTCCTCATACTGAGGAACCCTGGCCAATACCTGTTCTTCTGACCTGGCCCTTCAGGAACCTTCTAGAATCTGAGCTACTGACCACCTTTCCTTCCTCCAGACCTCTCTGCAGCCACCCCCCGGCCTCCAAACCCTACGACCTCAGGTGAGGGGAAGTATCTGCAGCCACAGCCGTCTGTCCCCGGCTCTCACATGGGTGGCCTGGTGTCCACCATGTGCCATTCTCCTTTGCTCTTCCAACCACTAGTCAGTCCATCCCTTTGCCTTCTCTCCCTCTCCCCTGTGGTTAGACTGTTAGTGTCTGTCTTCTCTTTTCCCTCAACCCTCTCTCTGCCTCCTCTTCCTCCTCTTGGATGGTCTCCTCTCGTTTTCCTTCCTTTGATCTTTCTCTCTCTCTCTCTGAACTCCTTCCTCAGCTGCCTCATCCTTGCTACATCACCCCCTCTTTGTTTCTCTCCACTTCTTGATCAAAGAACATTCAACATTTACTCAACTTCCAAAGACCCCATGGGGCTTCTATAAGGACAAGACCTGGGGTCCCAGCCAGAGGCATATGCCACAGACAAGAGGAAGAAAGGCTTACCTGAAGGAATCAAAGGTGTTGGCAGCCCAGATATCCGTGCCCAGCATGTCCAGAGAGTTGTCTTTGCTGCCATTCTGGAAGAGACGGGATGAAAAAAGGGGACATTGTTGGCTTGGTCAGGACACTGAGAACACGTGGCCAAAGTCCTAATCCCAGAGAAGGCTGCAGAGGCCTTCTCTTCCCTCGGTTGGTCATTCTGGGCAGCTTGTAGGCTGGAGAGAGCCACTGGAGTGAGCATCCTGGCCAGTGCACCCAGTAAGTCATGAGGACCACTGCCCCCCGGCTCCCCACCCAGGTACAGGCCCTCACCGTTGCATATGTCAGACATAGAGCTTTACTATCAGGTACAGAAATAGCCTGGGTTTCTGCTGTCCCCAGCCCATGGCTCCCCAGCCCACTGCCAGCTGGATGGCAGTAGCTTCTTCCCAGGCAGAGGCTCTGGAAAGCCAGACACACTGGCAGGTCCGTGTTGGAAGGCTGACTTCCTCTGGAGTTAAGCCCCACTTCTCGAAATCAGGCGGCCCTGAGAAGTCCCCACTGACCAAGGCTATACCAGTGATTAAATTCTCTAACTCTCTAATTCTCTAAATTCTCTAAATTCTCTAAACCCCGTTCCAGTCTTTGTCCTCCAATGCCCCCTACACGATCCATCCCATTGACATACAGAAAGCACTTTATTTCACCCAGTTTCTATCGTTTGGCTTCTCTGCCCCTTGGCTGACAATCTCCCCAAGTTCTCTGACAACCTGCCTTACTCCTAATGCCCTCCATCCCTTGTTACCCCTAGTCTGCTTTCATCATCACACTCTTTAAAATCAAGATTTTCACCTCCAGGACCACTGGACATGTGCGTGCCTTATGACCCAGGACGTCACTCACAGGTATAAACACAACCAAAACGTGCACAGACGTTCACCAACAGTACGAAGCACACAGAAGTACAGAGCAGCACTACTCACAATAGATCCACACTGGAAGCCACCTAAATGCTTCCCAGCAGTTGACTAGACATGGAAATTATGGCATAGTCACATACTGGAATATCGCACAGCAGGGAGAATAAAAAATTAAAACCTACAACAGCATTAATAAGCCCCCAAAATGTAAAGAAGAACAAAAGAACCCAGATACAAAAAAAGTACCAACTCCATGATTCAATTGATATGAAGTTCAACAACAGGCCAATGAACTAATCTGTGGAGACAGAATTCAGGAAGCGGGGGTCCCAAGAGGGTCCTGGGTGGGGGGTGCTGGTAATGTTCTGTTTCTTGATCTGGGTGCTTGTGTGTTCAGCTTGTGAAAACCCACTGAACTGTATGCACGTAATATGTATACTTTTTGTCCATGTGTGTTAGGACCTCCTGGTTACATTCCTGATAGTATCCCCAGTCTTTGTTTTTAGGACTGATCTGTCCCCAGACCTACCACTTCTCAGGTCCACTAGATCCTACACTGGATGATCTTCGTTTGAGACCTTTCCACGGGCCTAGGCCTAGGCAGACACTGAAGACATAGAAGTGGAGGAGTCACAGACCCTGCCTGCAAAGAGGGGTAGGTGTGCAATGACACACATGTAATAAATAATTACAAGACAGTGCGATATGTGCATTGATTCAAGGAGCCATAACGGGACCAGAGCGCAGGCAACTTTGCTGGTGACTCCTCCTGAGCAGGGGACGCAAGGACTCATGGAAGTGAGGCAAGCAGAGAGAAAAGCAGGGAAGGGGTCATTCTGGCAAAGGGGACAGCACGAGGGAAAGGCAGGACCCAACAGGGCGTTATGGGGAACTTCAGGGCCTCTGGCTTTGCACAGGGGGCACAGCAGCCCAGAGAGTGTCTAGGATCACCCACACTGTCCTGGCCAGGGCCTACTAGGGGCCCCACAAGTGCTCCTCGGTGCTTGTTGGGGTTGAATTGTGGCCCCCCTCCAATTCGCATGTTGAGGTCCTAATGCCCAGTACCTCAGAATGTGACTTTATTTGGGAATAGGGTGGTTGCCGATGGAGTTGGTTAAGATGAGGTCATATGGGTGGGCCCTCATCCAATATGACTGGTCCCATTATAAAAAGAGGAGATTTAGACACAGAGACAGACATGCACAGTGGGAGGATGCCATGGAAAATTGGAGTCACGCTGCCACAAGCCAGGGAACCACTGCGGGCTGGGAGACAGGCCTGGAACAGATCCTTCCTTGGTGACTTCACAGAGATCATGGCTCTCCCCACACCCTCACTTCAGACTTCTGGACTCCAGCACTATAGGACTGATAATACCTTTCACTAGGTTGAGCCAGTTTGGGGGTCAGAAGTATGGAATCAAGGAGACCTAGCAAACTAATATGGCAATCGACCATCCACCCCTCTAAAAACTCCCTTTCTGAGGGTGGTCAGTCACGTCCCTTCCTCCCGCAGTCAGCAGATGCCCCCCGCACCAACCCCAGGACCTTCTCACGTCCTCACAGCCACACTAACCACCTGAGGGGGTAGGGTCTCCTGCATCCTGCAAACAGAGCAGTCCACGCCGGCTCAGGCCAGTCTCTGACCTCCCAGCATCCACATCCCCAGGAACCAGCCCGTGAAAAGTCCCATCTTCTATCCTCCCTGGTGGCGATTCCCCTGCAGACCATAGCCAACATCACCCCAGAGGCTGCTGGACAAAGCCCCAGTGGACTAGAAAGGAACCCGAACCAGGCTCAATGACTCCACCTTTGCCTCTCCCAGCAGAGACACCAGCACCTTGACAAAGAAGCCCCATGATTTCGGGGTTTGGTTTTGTCTTTGATTTTCCTCGTCTTCCAGTTGGTCAGAGTCGGTAAGCACGCTCTCCTCCCTGCCTGCCTCGTACTCAGCATGCCTGACTCACCAGCCTCTTCCGTGGAAACCAACCTAGTTTCCAGGGAGAGAGCAGTTTGCGGGTACATTCCAGCTTTTAATCAATCTGAAGGCAAGGAGCACCCAGTGGAGGGGCCCAAGCGCTTGGACCTTCATAGACACCAGGCAGGAGACAAAGAGGGGGTGTGGGGAAAAGAGAGAGCAGTAAATGGGGGGGCTGAGGGGACACACGGGAGGATGCATGACCTCAGACCTCATCAATAAAAGGAGGACTGGCCCTGCCTGTGGCACCACCAGCCAGAAGCCCCAGGTTCTAAGTGACAAAACTTTCTGCTCCCACCATGCCCTGAGAGGCCCCACAATCCTCTCTTGTGAGTCAACCGCGTCATACGTAACCTCTCCATATGGTGCCACACGGTGGCTCTGTGCACCTCGGTGCTTCCTACCCACACCTGTCCAGTCCTGCATTCCCACAATCCCTTTCATTATTGACAGTGACCTATCAACCCCATCTTGCTCCTCTCCTGCTCACGTGACCACCTGGGAGGCTCACGTGACCGCCCAAACTGCAGTAACCTTGCTCTGCCCTAAACTAACCATCCATGCAGGTGGAGTGAGGCAGCTCTCATTCCATCTGCATATAGTGACCTTTCTCCTGCACTGGATCAGGGATAGCCACCTCTCTGGGTCCCCCAGAGCTCTTCGCCCGGTGCCTAAGAAACGTCTACGGGACTGACGTTTGCTTCAATCAACTTTCACTATCTTCCTCTTGCCATTTGTGACCTCAGTGAAGTCTGGGCTTGAGATTCTTTGTATTTAAATAAAGAGCGCTCAGAGTGTGACAAGATTGGTTCCTTCTGACCAGCAAGGCACGGACGGACACTGCCACCACGCCCTCTCCCTCCAGTGGCAGACATCCCTAATCAAATATGGCGTGATTTACAGTCCTCAAATCAGGTGACCCCTAATGTTCCAGGACCACCCCTCCCTCCCTCCCCGAGTTGCCTCATCACCCTCCCAATCCCAACTCCTGGTGTCTGGCTGGCTTCCAATTCAGCAGCCCTGGAGGAGGTGAGGGCACCGGGCAAGGTTGAAGACCGCTCCCCCCCCCCCCCCCCGGGGCCGCTGAGCTGGGGGAGCCCAGGCCAAGATGCCTATCTGTGCTGAATCAGAACAGGAAGGTAACCCCATGAACAGGTAAGAGGGCAAGTCTGGAGAAGTTCACAATGAGAGTCTCGGTCACAGGGGACGACCTACTTATCTCTGATCTATGTGACACAGTAGCTGTGGCATATTACACGACTCTGGATGTTTCCTCAGAGCTCGTTGCAACAGAATGTGACGGGCATATAATCACGGCATGCAACCGGTTCTCAACAGGGGCTGGGGAAATTGCCTGGCAGTTGGAGGCAAAATCAATCTCCATCAAATCTTGGCCCACAGAGGGAAGATCCCGCCTGCTGAGGCTTCCTTTGCTTCCCTGTCAATGCCTAGGTGGTGGCCCAGGCAGTGCCTGGAGGGGTCAGACTGAAGGCAACGGCAAAGCTGGACCACCAGGAACCAAGAGCTTCACGCTCCCGTCCCCTGCGCCCCAGCCCTGGGCTGGCAGCCTTCAAGCTGACCATGAGGTCACCTTGCCATGGGGCTTCAGATCCTGCCAAAGCCTTTAGGGTGTCTGGATATTCCCGTTTCTTGAGTTCTGGGCACCAGTCCTCAAACCTTGCAACTCCCAGCACACGTGTGTGCATACGGGCCACCTGTTCCACAAACTCTCCTATTATTACAGAGAAGTCACAGAGGGGCAGGGGTTTGCAGACAGACAGACCCACAGACAGGCAGACTGCAGTCTGACTTCTGGAACCTCCCACCTGGAGCCAGACCCACCCCACCGTCCAAACCACCCCCACCCCTTACTCACACTGAGCTGCATGAGAGGCAAGGACAAGCAGAGGACAGAGCAGAGGGTGACCAGCGCTTGGCTTGTCCCCAGGTACTCCCTGCTCTCCCAAGCCCCAGGCTGCAGCCGACTACTGCAGGGACCTTGGCTTCCCTGGCACACTAGTAACGCACAGTGTTAGTGTGAAGGGCTCTGAGGTCACGCCAAGCTACCCAAGATAGGGGCTTATATTCCTCTTTGGACCACTGTACCCTTCCTAGACTCACAGAAAACAAATGTCCTCCCCAACCCCAGTCTTTGTTTCTGATAGGCTCCAGCTCAAGACCCCTCCTCTCCGTGGCCGAGC